ATTATAGAACAATAATTACTCATTTTATGATAATGGCACGTTGTTCCGCCACTAATCACGATACACAACGCGACGTATTTGAATTTAAAGAAATAGTATAGTCCGTTCTGAAAAGTGTAAATACAATTGATTGTGAACTTCTTGACAATTTAAAATTCAAGAAAAAGCAAAGAAAAAATGTTATTAATAGAATATTATGAACAAGACACATAAAATAATATTGCTTGAAATTTTTTAAGAAGTAGAGTAATAAGATTTCTATTAAGTATTTGAAAAAAAAAATACAACATAAATAAAAAAAATAAAATATAGTAAAACTAGAATGAATGTTAAAAATGGAAATACTATTAAACTTATCATTAAAATAAAACAATAATCTTTATACATAATTCATTTTATGGTCATTGAGCTCAACTATATTCAAAAACAAATACGCTTCAAAGTTCAAACTTTTGGCGGATCGCTTTTTTTGAGCGTGTGTTGCAATTGTTACGTTAATACAATCACGTTCTGAAAACTATTCCAAAGCAAGTCGCTTTTGCAATTTGTTAACGTTTTTGTTGTCAAATAAATCGTATGATGAATAAGTTTTCAGGCTCAACTAACAAAATAAACATCACAAAGATGTAACATGTTTAGGAAAACGTTTGATAATAGTTTATATCGATTGAAAAACAAATGAAGAGTTTTATAATAAACGAATACAACATTAAGCAGTTTAAAATTAAATCAATTTTCAGCACCCGCAAATTTCAATACGTATTTATGAGTATACTAAAAGTAAATAAAAAACAGAAGAACTCGATCATAGAACACACAGATTAAAAATAATGTTTGTCGTTTATATCGTTATAAATACGGTTCACACCTTTGGTGGATCATGAAATAAAATTCATGACGTTTCACTTGTATATATATTAGTATAAAATAAGGTAATGTAAGCGGTAATAAATTTCCTTGGAATATCCCACTAAGACATCATAAATGCACACCCGCTGTACAGCATCCTGTTTCTATCAAATATATATTTATATTTAGAATATATATATATCATTCTGTACACTTGCAACAAGCTGTACAATTTCACACTGTATATAATATGTGCATGGGACATTGTGTACAAACGGTTCGTTAATTCCGTGACCCAATTCTCTCTGCACGCGTGTATACGGAACGAAACGACCATATATCATCGTGGCCAAGTGGAAAATTGTGTTTAAATTTTGATATATAATATATTGTTTAATATTTATTAATATTTTGTTTTTATTGTGCTGCTACACGAACACAATGATTTGCTGCGACGGTCCCCGCACATGTTATAATACAAGTACATATACATATACGTCCCAGAGTTCTCTTCCCCACTCACGCCTACATCGAGATTGCTTAAACCGTTTATATTTTGACGTTTTCCGTGTGGTTGTTTGCCGAACGTGTCTGAAAGGCTTAACTGAAACGGTTTGTGGGGTAGGAGTAGAGGATGCGTCGGCGACAGTAATGAAGCTCGGACTTTGATTATCGTCAGGTAATCCGGCGGTTCGCCAGCACACGTTCCTGCTTCACTCCCCCAATAAATCAACCATATAATTCGTGTTTGCCCACCAGCATCGGCACATCCTATACTACAATAATCCACCCACCTCCTCATTGCTCTGCGCTCGCACGCACACACACACACACACACACACACACACACACACACACACACACACAC